ACAAACAGCAAAAAATAGATTGACAGGGATTTGGACCCTTCCCTCTAGCCAAAAATATACAAAATAAAATATTTGTGTTCAATAATCACATTCTTTAAAATGTACATAACACGAGCCCTAGCCCACCAAATATTCATTGCCGCCAAATTAACTTTGGCGGGAAATTGGAAAAAACAATTCATCCCGTATCGGGAATTCACCAATAGGCTGGATGTAGTTCTCTTAAATGAACGATTGTCGTACGTCCTACAGGATTCACAAGCCAAATTTCTGGGAACCCTGGATTCTACATAATCACCCTGATCTAGATATTGACACCCTCCACCGCCTGTGATGTGGTCTATAGAGTTAAGAGGTAATGAATGTGTGACCCTCGGGTGTGAACCAAAAGGCCTGTGGAGCAGACCTGAATTACAATTGAAGTTGCCCGCCGGATGGGCCCTTTCCCCCTCCTTGTCTTCCCCTTCTTTCCCCCCCCCCCCTTTTTTTATTTTCTTTATCTTCTACTGCATTAATGTTGATTTGTAGTGTTTGCATTGACATACTGTTGATTGTATTACGTTACCTATGTGGCCGCCTGTAGCCGGCAAGCACTGTACAACATGCTGTTTGTAATTACCTTGAAAACCCAATAAATATTTGGATATAAAAAAAAAAATGTACATAACACAATCATTAGCTTTTGATACATTTCTTGCTAGTTGATAAATTGTTCACTATCTGTATTCAAGTATTGTTAATAACAAAGTTGATGCAACTACCTAGTGCACAACTTACAAAGTCAACATTTTTTAGTTACTTTCAAAGCATTGCACTTCTTGCTCCTACTGCATCTTCTTATATACAGATTTCTCACTATGTCCATGAACACATTTTTTATTTTATACAGATCTGCTTCTTCTTGCAAAAAATCGGACCCTTGGTATACTGAAATTTGCTGAAATGCTTCAGCTTTCAGCTGCAGTAACTTGCATTGGTTATACTAACTTTGGTAAACTACAGGCTTTTGAAAGAACTTGGTTGATTTTAGGGCCCCAATAACACCAAATGTGTTGGGCTGTGCTTGGCAGCCTTGCCCAGGGCAGCCACCCAAGTCCCATTTACATAGTGGCAGGGTCTTCTGAAGGTATGTGCAGGCATCTCTTGATGACATTTAAACATTCATACCACTGAGAATTTTTACATTCATTTACATTTTGTTATAAAAAGCTTCTGCATGATTAGTCTGGGGTATCAAAAGATCACATCCACATCTAAAAACACTAAAAAGACTATCCCCTTTAAACACCAAAAACAGCAGCCACTTTCAATTAAAATATATAATCTCAGACCTGAAAGGATTATATGTAGTAACCCTGAAGAAAAAAAAAAATTAACCTTCCATCCAGTCCTAAGATTTACACAGCACTGCCACAGAACACAGAGACCTGATAACACTTACAGGTTTGTCCCTCCACCAGCCTGTGACTGAACACTGCACATAGAGAAAGCACAGAGATGAGCTTGCATGTCACTCTTCTTTCTGCTCCTATCAGTATGCTCATTAAAATACAGCACACCTAAATGGGTTCCTTGTGCTCTCTTTCCCAGTATGAGCTCTGCTGTACAAAGATACAGAGACTGCAACAGACTGATACCAACCCAAAATCAGGTACTCTGCTTGGATTTAAAAAATAAATTTATTTTAAAAGAAAAAAAAATACATTTAAAGATATATTAATGAGCTGCATTCATTTATATCTGATTGGAGTTTGACTTTGCCCACACCCTTGCACATTTAGCCATGTAACTATTCTCTACTTTGGATACATGCAGCCCAATCCTCAACAGATTTATCCATACATGAAAATGAGCAAATGTGCCAAATAGGAGCAGTTCAGACAGATGTCTATTGCCAGTATTGTGTGGGAGAAAATAGAAATGCACATGTGCACAGCAACTGCATTTTCCATCCCAAGCAGATATCTGTCAACCTAGACATTTGGATGGCTGGTAGTCTTCAAAGAAGATATGAAGCCTTTGGAGAATGAGAGCTGATCAACTGCCTTTACAGACACTTTCAGAACTTGGATTAGGATTAGATGCCTGATTTTAAGACAGAGTGGCATCCGATGAAGGGTTACATGATCCATACACGAGCTGCCTTGTGTGTATGTGGTTTGAACATCTTTGTTTAATTCTGTTAAATCCACCTTAAATGGATACCATCACAATCTGAACTTTTTATTCACTTAGATAATCTTTTACAAGATTTTTATTGTCAGTGAATAGTTTAACCTTATAAAAAGAGAATGCAAGCTTTCCTAAACTACAAGCTGACCAAATTCCCTCACCTGTCCAGTCTGTGGTCAGCCAGATATGAGTAAACCAGGTCTGCTGGCAATTTGTTTCACACTGAGTTACAGCTGCTGGTAAACCCAGTCATTATTAAAGTAATAAATTAAATATTACATAAACAATTATTGCTCACCTGGGTATTAAGCAACAGTGAATAACTATTATCCCACAGAAACCATTAGATTGTACTGATTTAAATAATGCATAGTAATGTTCCTGAGAACAGACATGTGATAGTTTGACTGGGGCTTGCTTACTTCCATTTTTAACATTTTAAGTTGCCAAGACACCGATATTTATGGGTGCAATAAAATCTGTGTGTGGGAGACACAAAACTCAAAGCAGATGGATGAATGAATGAGCATTGTATAAGTGGCACCATGTAACCCGTAATATTTATGCCACTTTCTGTTATAACTGCAAGCTAGAATTGAATGCACATATATTGCTGTGCTGCCTTCATTTTATAGATAGATCTGAGTTAATGGCTTGAGGAAGAAAAGAAAATGTATTCCATAAACCACTCTCTTGTTCTAGTCATACACGGCAAGATATTACGAAGTAGGGTCAGGTACACAACATATTATGAATCTCTGTGTGCACTGTATCTGTATTCAGATATTGTCACTTTAAATTCAGGATGAAGAAATAATACAATAGATAAAAAATAATACTGTCTGCAGCACTTTCAAAAATCTCCTACTATGGAGGATTAATTTAATCAAGTGAAGACAACTATTGTATTTATAAAATAAAATGTTGCTATCACTATTCCAATTCGATTGTTTTCACCAGTCCCAAAGGACATCTTAACATTTTCAGTCACACGCTGACTGTATTGAGCAATCAATCAGTTTCCTGATTTTGATGCATCTTTTGCTATCATTAATAAGTCAACAAAAGAATGGACAAAAGAAACAAACATATGCCACAGGTTCACTTTATGATTCAGCAGCATATATAGTCATTTGATGCATCCACTGTTGGATCAGATCATCCAGTCAGTGATGGTTAATGTTTACCACAAGGTAAGCAAAAATTATGATGCCGTAGGCAAGCAATCCTTACATTTATATTAGTCCAAAAATTGATAAGTCGTTACACTTTCCGTGAAACAGAGCATAAAACACAAAATGCAGAGGCAGGTTAATAGCTTTATTAGCTTAATCTGGCCATGCCCCAGTGGAATTTTTTATTGTCAGAGCATTTGTTCCATATTCTTGAGTCAAAAATACCAAACGAAACCCACACGATAAAAAAATCCAAGGAGCAGGATGGAAATGTTCTTGGACAAACAAAATTTTCATATTGAATGTTGTTTTTGTTTGAGAAACTCCATTCATTTGCAAAATTGAATGTTCAAACCAAACTAAATTTCGAATGACGGTTGTCAAGCCCCTGAAAGCATTTTCAAATGTCATGGCAAGGTTTTTGTTCGTACAAGAATCTACCAGTGTATAGCCAGCTTAATTGACATTTTTCTTAATGGTGTTATCATCCCAAGATCAAAAAAAATCAAAAGCAGTCTTTGACTGTAAACATTTGCATACGTGGGACTACATTAAATGTACTGTTATCCAGGATAACATATTGCTGCAGCAGAACATGGTGTGTCATCCCAAGCATACAAGAGCAGTTAACCATGTTCTTCCCAGTATGGAAATGTTATGTCCAGTAAACAGGTTTTTTTTTCCTGCACCACTGTAATGCTGTTACAATATTAATTTGCATTGAGAACCTGTGTTAGGAAGAAATATTGTGTTGTACTTCTGCATGTCCTTGGAACATTTGTTTGCATTCTGAAAAACCTTATGCAGCATCTGGCCAGAACACTGAGTGGTGGTACATTCTGCTGGATATGCAAATACTGCACTTCCTTCTCAACAGATTAGATCCATTTTAATAGCTGGATGTTTGCATTGGTTGATTTTTCATGGGAAATATCCTTAACAAATAAATGGACCATGAACTTGGATTTCTTTTTTGAAGCAAGCTGCAACAGCCAGAATAGCAGTCTTTGTTAACCCTCTATCTAGAATGTAATCACTATACCATCAATATACTGGCTCAGGTTAAAGAGTTCATGACTATCAAACAAATCTGGCATCTTGAATACTCTAGCTACCTTGGACATTTTTTCTCTCTAAATATATTCTCTGCCCTTAACCTTAGGAAGAAGAAAAGTTGCTGTGATTAAGCAGTTTTATAAAGGGCTCTCTAGCTAGCAAACTGTGGAAAATGTACACAGAACATATCCATAGATGTCTACAGCTCACAATTGTTTTTTTACTGGCAACAGTCCAAAACATCCATCATAGCACAGGTATCATAACACCTAATGGTTTTCAGTGGCACAATAGAAGTGCAAGGATTAATACTTGAGTTCTAACACCAGAAGTACAGCTCCAAGTTCAAAATGTGCAGCCTGAAAATGTTTCGAACAAGACTGGTTGCCTATATGCAAAGCCATTTGGTGACCTGTGGGGCTATAGGAAGTGCATTGGAAATAAATCACTAACATGAACAAATATCTGGCGCTAGAGAAATGTGTTAAAAATTTGCAAGTTAAACCAAGAAGTTTAAAGCCTGGAAAAATGATCTGATGTCCTTAGTGTTCCAAACAGTGTCTAGGGTGGGTCAGTCAGGGCCACAGCGGAAAATACCTTTATCCAGGGAGGCACCTGCCATGTGGTAAAAACTTAGAGCTGTGTCCACATCATTAATGTTCTTGAGGAAGGTAAAGAAATTTTCTACTTCTTCAAATGTCAGGCCCTAGAAAAGAAACAACCAGTAAAAGCCTAGTAAGAAATAGAGTTTTGTAATAAAAGAAAAAAAGACAACATTATTTTCCACCTTGGCCTTATGCAAGTATACAGCACATACGTTATAGCTGGCAGGACCAAAGGGATCCTGTAAAGCATTGCAGTAGCCGGCACTACTACAGTGCTTTACTTTGAACTTCCAGGTCCTATAATGCCACTGTGCTGACTGACTTTCCCTCTGTAAACATCACTCCACGTCATGTCACCACCTTTCATCCAATTAGAAAACACATAGAGGAGAATTTATCAAAACTGGAGCAGACAAAATCTGGAGCAGTTGTGCATAGTAACCAATCAGCTTCTCTCTTTCATTTGCAAATCTTAACTGAACAAACTGAAGAAAGAAGCGGATTGGTTGCCATGCACAACTGCTCCAGATTTTGTCTACTCTAGTTTTGATAAATTCCCCTCATAGTATTCCTTTCTTCAAAAATACTAGGTGTTTGCTGAATGTCAGCTGTGCCAAGTAAGTGAACTGCTGGGCTTTCACAGTGGCAGTACGGGACCCTGAAGCCTGTGACACACTGCATATGGAGCAGTGCAGAGCAAAGCAAAGCTGCGAAGCGCGGAGCTGAGCGCAGCCAGATGAAAGACTTCATCTTCAGCCAATCGGCTCACACATAACAATTCAATGGACTTCGCATCCTGACATGTGGGTTTATACACGCAAGCCGAATGGTTGAAGATGACATTTTTCTTCTCAGCACACTTAGCTATGCTAGCTCTTGCAAGCTGTCACGCCAGATTGAAAATTTAAAGGACACACTGCAGGCGAAGGTCTGTGCATCGCCGCTTCCCTTTCCTGCGCACCGCTTCGCATGCAGTGTGTCACATGCTTAAGGATCAATGTAAAGCACTGGAGTAGCGCTGGCTACTTCAGTGCTTTACAGCAGTGTTCCCCAACCCCCGGTCCGTCACGGTACAATTATCAAACGTTGACCGGTCCGCGGCGATAAAAAGGTTGGGGAGCACTGCTTTACAGGAACCCTATGGCCCTACCAGCAATAAAATATGTATACATACATTGTGCCAAGCTGGACCAATATAATTATACAAATGTATTTTATATATATTTAAATCTATATATGTATAGATTTAATGTTATGAAAACTTACTGTTCAGTTGCAGTCTGCAAAAGATTTGATGATTTTCCAAACTGGTAAAAAATTTCAAATGTTGTGTCCTTGTAACCAAAGCAACCAATGACATCTCTGGAGGCATCCTGTACACCATATACAGGACACACCAAGAAATGTGATTTATCGTTCATGTTTATGGCTTACCGCTTTTTCCAGTGTTTTACCACTGAATATAAGATATTCTATTTAAGCAATACCTATTTCCTAGATCTAAAATCAGATTTTATACAGGACATTATTTTCGGAAGACAACGAGACTCACATATTGAGGCTAACCTTTTTTACAGCATTTAGAATGCAGGAAGGCCAGCAATTACTAACCCAATGTCATACTGTATAGGCAACATCAAGCTAAACTTGTGAATAGGTCACATACAATGCAGAAAGACGCATTGCCCCATATTAATGAAGACACAATAAAGGTAAACCTCTTACTATCTAGACCAGGGGTGGCAAACTCCGGCCCTCCAGCTGTTGTGGAACTACAAGTCCCTTGAGGCTTTGCAAGATTCTCACAGCCACGGGCACGACTCGCAGAGGCAGATGCATCATGGGATTTGTAGTTTCACCACAGCTGGAGGGCCTGAGTTTGCCACCCCTGATCTAGACAATAATAAATAAGCAAAAAACCCATTTGGTTAGCATTGGTTGGAAGAATGAAAAAGTGGCTAATAATTAGTGGTAAAGAGTAAAACTTGAGCATTAGTGTACTTTCACATGAGCAATGAATTGAATTTTGGAGAGGGAGCTCACCCTGCCCTTTCTCCACACTTACACAGGCTTTGATACACCTGTGAAAGGTTTCTGCCATCTCCAAGGATTGACCTTTTAATTACACACAGTAGGGTGGGCATTGGTGTACGCAGGGTCTATGCTTAACTATGTTTTAGTGACTAATCTAGTTATGACAACAGAGGCTCCAAAAGGCACTAAAAAAACAATGAAATCCCTCCATGAAACATGCTTAAATAAAGAAATGCCTTTTAAAAAACATAATGGGGGGGAATTTATCAAAACTGGAGCAGGCAGAATCTGGAGCAGTTGACCATGGCGACCAATCAGCTTCTCTCTTCAATTTGTTCAGTTAAGATTTAAAAATGAAAGAGAGAAGCTGATTGGTTGCAATGCACAGCTGCTGCAGATTTTGTCTGCACCAGTTTTAATACATTCCCCCCAATGTATTATTTTTCTACCACAAACAGAAAAATCAAAGTGTAATGATAGCGGTTGGAGCCATATTGACCATTACTTTAAACCCTAGAAGCCAGCTGTGCATCCTAGGTCTTAGCAAACCCATATAACATAAATGGAAGAATGAGAGGGGTCTATAAAAAGGAGTACAATAATAACATTTCTAAGAACTAATAATAAATGTACCCATA